CTGACGAGGACGGCCTCCAGCGGTCCGCCGCTTGCCAGGAGCGGTGAGCTCTGCTGACTAGCGGCGTCGGCGCGGTTTCTGCAGGATGTCGTGCGCAAGGTCGTCGTCGACGTTGTCGCCATCGTCATCCTCAGGGGTTGGGTCGGTGTCGAGGTTGCCCGCCTCGGCGCCGTCGCTAGTGCTGCTGTTATTGTCGCTGTCACGGCCCTCACCAACCAGTGCGTGAAAATATCCGCGGTGGTGACCGCTCTGCGAGGGTGCTACGCTCGCAGACGGCCCGCCGGATTCTCCCGTTTGGGTAGGCTTAGGCTGTCCCTCTTGGGGCTTAGCTGAGCCGTGGTTGATGTTAACAGTAGCGTCGGGACGTGGCGTGGCTGGCGGTTTGGGTGTCGTCAGCTGCTTGAGCTTTTTCGGCTGTTGCTGCTGTTGATGTGACCCTACGTCCTTTTTCTTTCCTTACTTCCTTGGATTGCCCATGTTTCACACGTGGGTTTCAAAGATGCAAAGATAGCACGCTTCGTCGAACGCCAATATGGATGCCCTCTACTCTGGGTGAGCGGAGAGTCCGGGGTTGTGGTGGCTATGTCCTGCCACCGGAGGTTGGCTATTTCCTTTGGTGCAATGTGGCGAGGAATGCCAAGCGTGACCGAGCGAACTCAGTCAAGCTAGGGTGGTGCGGAGAGTGGGCGAGCCTTCGTGGACTCCTTTTCCGATTTTTCTAAAGATCCATCAACTCTTCGCAGCCGTTGAGGGTCATAAGAGTTGGGGACCCTCGAAGAGCAGTAATCCATTATCACTTGTTCGCTCAGATCCTACTCTTTATGTACGTGTATCTGTGCTCCCTGAATCTCCATATCCTGACCTCCACAGTACCCGGGGATATTGCGCTGGCTGCGGTGAGGCGAAGGCTATCCGGCGTAGTGTCCCGAAGGAGCCGCAAACCAAGGCGGGGAGGTCGTTTGGGCGTGTGTTCATCGATCTAACGGGCCCGTACCCGCCGTCCACCGGCGGCGCCCGTTACTGCATGATGGTGGTCGACGACTACTCCAACGTCGGGTGGACGCTGTTTCTGGCGGACAAGAGCGGCTCCACTCTGTCCGGCGCCTTTCGCGCGTGGCACGTCGACAATAAACAGCTGGCGATGGCTCACGGTGGGTTGGGCGTTGCCCGCTTTGACAACGGGACCGAGTTCACCAACGCCGAGTTCCGGCACTTGCTGTCTGAGCTCGGGGTTGCGGTGGAATTCACCCCCGTCGATGGTGCGAAGCGCAACGGGCGTGCTGAGCGGAAAATCGCGCTTGTCGTCGAAGGGGGAAAGGTGGCGTGGTTGGAGTTCCCGCGGCTCTTCCCGGATTTGGAGTTCCCTCGGAAGGCGATGTCGTGGACGACAATCTGGCCGGAG